TTTTCTCGCCATATACATCTGAACTATGTGTCATATAATATATAGTATGTGGCTATATGCATAATACTGTATTTATTTATTTATTTATTTAGTCGTGTTTATGTAATGTATATTGGAGGTGGTAACTTTTTGAGAGCTGTATGCAACGAGATTTCATTTTAATGTATCCCGATTAGTATACATTTAAAGTACAATAAATTATTCTAAGTTTAATTTTTGCCTTGATAATGTTTCCGATTGTTAGCTGCCCCAGCCTATTTTATAAACAAACAAACAAGTAATCAGGCGTAATAGGGTATGTCTTATTTATGGACTTCCCAAAAGTCACTTGAAAACCTTTTTAACAAGCAACCCCATTGTTTTGGAGAGCTGCTATTATACAATCTATGAAAATAGTCTTTAGAGCCTGTATAATTGCTGACGGCTAAGTGCTAATGACATGAGTTAAACAGGCATCAATAGTGACCACTTCATAAATGCCACATTCCCAGATGAAGATACATCCTATCAGATTCAAACAGTTAGGATAGTAAAAGGCAGGAGTTTCCAGAACATTGGCAAAAAGATAGGATAAGACTAATAATCTATGTTGAAATGGCTTCATGAGTCAAAATGTATCTCTTTTATTTATTTAATCGTTTTATATATATTTGACCTACCCAGCTCCCTGAGAGAGGGACTCAATTCACTCATATGGGACCATTTCCGGTAAAGGAACAAACGTTTGGATGTTCTAATATACAGAGAAGAAACTCTGATGGGGAATCTATGCCACTTCCCATGATAAAGCCCGCACACTAACTGATTAATACCCAGCTCCATCTTGGCCAGTGTTTCTCAATGTGGGCCATTTGAAAATGTGTGAACTTCAATTCCCAGAATTCCCCAGCCAGCACAGCGGGTGCACAGTGTCTAGTTTCATTTACCTAGTTTGGTAAGGAAACTTCTGCAAGAAAACAACCAAGCTCAGAGAACACAAAGTCCTCCTCCTCCTCCTCCTCCTTTCTACAAACCCCTCTCCCTTGTAGCACTGATGATGTTACCTAGTTTGGTAATGGAACATCTGCCAAAAAACAACACAGTTCAGAGAACACAAAGGACCCTACAGCCCTCCTCCTCTCCCCCTTCTCCTCCCCTCCTCCTCCTTATCCCTCTCTTCTACCTCTGATGATGTCAACTAGTTTGGTAATGAAACATCTCCAAAAAACAGTCAAGCTCAGAGAGCATCAAGGACCCCACAGTCCTCCTCCTCTCTCCCTTCTCCTCCCCCACACTTCCCCCTCTCTCTTCTAGCACTGATGATGTTACCTAGTTTGGTAATGAAACGTTTGCAAAAAAACCAACAAGGCTCAGAGAACACCAAGGACTCCACAGTTCGATCCTGAGCTGCAAATATTCTCATCTATTGGTACTTCCAGAATTCACACATACCCCAAATTTAGGGGGTGGCCTAGATTAACTGGGGGTGCAAGCTTGTCATTGTCATTAGACACATCACACAAGGAGAAACTGTTATTTTTAAGAGGGAAATGGAATTCTCTTGATGCAACGTAGCCTCCTCTACTGAGAAAATGAAAAGACTACCACTGATTGAGTAGCACCAGCATTTAGAGCAAGCCTTAACTGGCTCATTCTTCTTGGGAAGGCCAAAGCCTACTTGGGAAAGTAGCAGAATTGTGAAGAATTGCTAGATCTGCAGACTTGGCAAACCACACAAAACCAACAACTCATTCAGCCACACAGATGGGACCAGCCGATCTTCAGCTTGTTCGGTTCCAGTTTTAAAAAGTCTTCGATAATGTATATATACTCAACAACTCCAAAAGTCATCTGTTCCAGTTCCTGCAGACTGGAGTCTACACCAGTTTAATCTAGCCTGGTTTGAGGTGGAACGTTTGATTCTACTTGGTAGCCATTATTTCTTGTTATCAAGATGAGAGAGACAGAGAGACAGAGAGAGAGGGAGGGAGGGAGGGAGGGAGGGAGGGAGAGAGAGAGAGAGAGAGAGAGAGAGAGAGAGAGAGAGAGAGAGAG